ATATATATATATATATATATATATATATATATATATATATATATACAGGGGCGTGTACAGGAGGGGGGCAGGGGGTCCGGACCCCCCCCCCCTCCCTGCTCGCGCAGAAAACGCATCTAAAGGAATCAAATTTCAAAAAAAAATTTGGGGTGGAAGGCCCCCCAGACCCCCCCTTCGCGTGCTCGCAAGTTTGGGTTACGGTTAGACCCCCCCCCCTGGTACAAATCCTGTACACACCCCTGATATATGCATGGTTTATGTGGCATTGACGGATTTCGGGGTAGCTTAAAGCTAGGGAATATTACGAATGGCTAGCTGCTGAGTTTCATATATATAAACCATGCATATATATATATTCTTCGTTATAAAACCTCGACGGCACTCGCAAATGCAATATATGCGAGAAGCCGATGTAATTTTATACTATAAATAAATTAACCTGTGTTTTTGGTTGGTTAATATTAAACTGGGTTTACACTATTAACTTACTGTTGATAAGTTGACGAGTTGATCAAATTTTTAACTAATCGACCTAGAGTCGGCAGTGTACACGTAAAATTTGAGCGCTCAACAAGCTGATAGCAACTAGTTGAGAGATTAGAGCATGTTCTATTGTCTCAACTTTTGGTCAACTAGTTGATCAAGCTTTTGCCAATCAGCCACTCCGATATAATAGCAATCAGGAGGTGTGTCCCTCCAGCCAGATAGAGGGAGAGCGCGTTTTTGCTATCGGCGCCACACTGGCGCGAATTAATACATGCACAAATGCGCATCAACGTTGCCCGCGCGACTCTACGGGTCAAATGATGAAACGTTTGCCGACTCGCGGTCGATAACGTAAAAACTTTGACCATTTGGTTGATATAGAACGTTGAAAAGTTTATAATCTCGTCAACTTTTCCATAGAGTATAAACCCAGCTTTATACGAGAGGCAAGGAAAAATCGCAATGTAACAACACGCTTTATCAGCGCAGTATTTGCGTGCGTGATTCTCTGGGCCATGACTGGGTTGGAAGTATGGGTTGTTTCCTCCAACTAAAAGAGTCACCAGGGTAGATTCATCCAGCTTTTCATTAACAAACCATAGTCTACAGTTCAGTGCGGCTCTGGACTAAAACAACTTCGCGTATTGTTAAAATATTGTTAATGCCATATTTTCGTTTTCGTGTTATTTTATATCACGCCGCTGACGGTTGATAATGGCTCTGTATATACGCACTACGTCTCTTCTAGGAGCTCGATATTATGGCAGCCAGCGTGACGCCATTGGAGCAGCCGTTCAAAATTTCTGACTGATACTGATGTGATATATCTCACTATCGTTACGGAACCATGATGGCATCGCGACGTCCAGCTAGTGTGTTGGACGCGTGGGTCGAAGAGACCCCTGGTCATGGTACGAAGACTGAGCTCACAACTAACCGTCGTGTCTGGTGCGACATGGGGACGCAAGCGGGCAGATACACGGCAACGAGCATGCTTATTATGCTAACGATCATCCCGCTCGCCGTACTGATCATGCAGAATGCTTTCATCCTCCCGATCATTAACGATGCCATGCAACACACAGAGCTCCTACATCAGCGTATCATGTCCACGTTCAATCTCAAAGACATCATACACACGATACAGGTGGAGCGCGGCACTGCTGTTCTCGCTCTCATTTCGGTAGGTGTTAGTTGTCATTTTAGCCAAAATATGAACTAAAGCAACCAAATCCACTATGTGCGTTTCAAAAATTCTGTCTAAACCAAAAGTAAAACAATAAACATCGACAATATATAACTTACGACAAAAACAGTACACATTTCTCATGCGGCTTGTGCACATATCGGTTGTATTAACGCGACTACGCGAACGCCTATACGTAGTCTTAAATAGTATACTAGTAAATTGCATTTGTACAAAATATAAATCATGGTAATAAGTTATCGTGTTGTTCCTCCTGTGTGATTGTAAATTGCTTCATTGCCTTTGCTATTTTGCCGTTCTTTTCGACGTAAACAAACATCCAAAACTCGTACCTTTTCCATGGCGATTGATTTTTATCCGTTTAATAAGTTAGAATGCTCGGATTTCCTTTGGATTGTCACTAGTATATATACATTTCAATGCCGTTAGTATACTTATAGTTCTTATGTGATAAATTGGAAATTTTTCCTATAATTATACTTCTCATAAAAGGCGGCATGATTTATTTATTTCGTCACCTATATTGTCACTAGGATGACACAAAGCTGAAGCGTATGCTAAGAGCGAGCTACATAGACACGACCGATGCTATTGCTGCTTACGGGGAGCGAGACTGGCCTACTATAGCCGAACACCTGGGCCCTGAGTTCCGAAGCAGCCAGTCGTTGACACGCTACCTGATAAAGCATCGGCGCGAAATCGACTACAATAGCGCCATTGCTGCCAGCGAGACGAGGTGCGAACACACCAGAACAATTTGTATTGGGGGAGGGGGGTGGTGTATCTTATGTTCTCCTCGAGATGTAACCGATTGCTTTTCCCGCCGGTGTTTGCATGCACACCGGTTATCTATGCACACGTCTTATTCACAGAGGGTATCGCGTATTGTTCAGTATCGCGTGTGCACGTACACATGCGTGCGTGCGTGCGTGCGTGTGCACGTACATGTGCGTGCGTGTGTGTGCACGTACACGTGCGTGCGTGCGTGTGCACGTACACGTGCGGGCGTGCGTGCTTGTGCACGTACACGTGCGTGCGTGCGGGTGCACGTACACGTGCGTGCGTGCGTGTGCACGTACACGTGCGGGCGTGCGGGCGTGTGCACGTACACGTGCGAGCGTGCGGGCGTGTGCACGTACACGTGCGTGCGTGCGTGTGCACGTACACGTGCGGGCGTATGCACGTACACGTGCGTGCGTGTGTACGTTCACGCGCGTGCGTGTGCACGTACAGGTGCGTGCGTGTGCACGTACACGTGCGTGCGTGTGCACGTACACGTGCGTGCGTGCGTGCGTGCGTGTACACGTACACAGAATACGTGTACATATACGTACTGAACCGAGAGCGCACGCCGCACTCGAGATTTCATCGATTTTTGTCACAAATGACCTATATTATAAGCCAGTTCGTAGTTAGCCAAGGGGTTTCAGTGTGACGTCACAGGTCAGCATAATACACATTTTTGGCTGTTTTATACCATTATGTAAAGCAACATCTACACAAACAGTAAATCAATCACATGCTCTCAACAAATACGAGTGGGTATAGACGATTTGTTATACAGTAAGTACAGTTGTATGCAGTAAAATCCTAGAGGCTACTGTCCCTTTAAAACTGGTAGTTTGAGCTGAAACAAGATAGATTGTATATGACAGGGTTATGTTGCAAAGAGGTAAATTCGTAAGAGAATTTGATAATAATTTTTACTGCATACAACTGTACTTACTGTATAACAAATCGTCTATACCCACATGTATTTGTCACCAGATACCTAATTTAATTGTTATAATTAATTAAACATCAACGCTACGAAATTTGAATGGCGCCATGACA